GTATTTTGTTGTAGTAAAATGAAACATGATGAACATTGGCATACTGTAAGTATAGTATGTATTTACTGTATAAGCACATGCTGTATACTGTATGTATCATTTTATATTAGTACTGTATATTGTGTATTTACAAAAAGCAAGGAGCAGAAGGTAGATTTAACATCCTGTAAGAAAACCAGCGAGTGGCCCCATACCTCCACAAAACCCTTTGTCAGTGGAGGTAGATAGACCTTCTGTTATGAATATTCTCTATGTTTTTTACATGGTAGAGTAGATTCAAATCAATATGCAAAGAGAACAGTAAGTGAGATCATTAATGTTTCGAAAGTAAGACAAGATAGAGCCTTCTTTTGCCCACTACAACTAAGATAAGATGTCATGTCTTGTCAAGCTTGAGTAATGACCAGTTTTATTCCAATCCCCTTCAAGTGATATAGTAAATACATTTCCAACAAATACAGTATATAACCTATAGGGCCAGCAGCCATATCACCCTGCAACTCACAACTGGCAACCCACTGAAGCTAAGCAGGTGTGAGCCTGGTTAGTCCCTGGATGGGAGACCTGGGAAAAACTAAGGTTGCTGCTGGAAGAGGTGTTAGTGGGGCCAGCAGGGGGCGCTCACCCTGCAGTCCAGGTGGGTCCTAATGCCCCAGTATAGTGACAGGGACACTATACTGTAAATAAGCACTGTCCTTCGGATGAGATGTAAAACCAAGGTCCTGACTCTCTGTGGTCATTCAAAATCCCAGGGTGTTTCTCTAAAAGAGTAGTGGTGTAACCCCTGCATCCTGGCCAAATTTCCCATGCCTCCTAATAATTCCCCTCTATGAATTGGCTTTGTTCTCCTAACCCCCCATTCCCGCTCCAATGGCAGACAGTTGGAGTATTTCTTGGTCGCAGTTAATGGCAATGTCAGCTCAAAGGTTTGGTTCAAACCACCAAATGGAGACTGGTATGCTGACAAGCAGACCCTGCTGATGCGGGATTAATGCTAGGAAAGAGAGAGAGACAGTATATAACCTATAGAACAACAACACCCAAAAAACTTTGGACTGTTGCATTTGTTAATTGGTGAAAGTAATTTTTTTCCAGTGAGCACAGTGCCAGGGCAGTCTTTTGGCAGTGTAGTTTATCCCACAGGATCTGATATGCTCTCAATAAGCAAAACGTTGATAACTGTACCTGTACATTAGTTACCTCCAGGAGAAAATATGTACAGTAGTGTGCACTATACCTCGCAACCAAAGAATTTCACTGCTCATAGCAGAACTGTCAAGAAAGCTCTGGGGAGCATTCCATTCTTTTTAGTGACTCTAATTTTTCACACTTCATGAACATGGAGCTATATAATGAACAGCTCAGAGATGCAGAGAGATGGTTACCGTACAGATCCTGTCATCAGGCATTTATAAAAGGAGATTTTATCTGTTTTCTGCAGCTCTTTCAAATTGATTTACTTGGCCATACCCTATTTCCAATATTTTAAGTGGTTGATTGAGCTTCAGGCTTCTTTCCTTATGACTGGAAAGTAAGCACATTTAAAACCATAACTCTAATCTGAACAAAATGATATACCATCTGATAGAAGAAGCCATGCTTACTGTACAACAGATAAACTATTAGAAACTAATCTATTAGTTTAATGCCTTCCAAACAATTGTATTATTTATCTTGTCCTTGAAATATATGCTCCCTATTTTTAATGAATTGTAATGCATATTTTATTTTGATTTCTATATACCCTTTCAGTTTGTACACAGTGATAACAGCACTTAAGAGCTGACAGATAGCTCTTTAGGTTTTGTTGCATATTTTATCTTTTGATGCAGTCCTTATAGTACTGCCATAGTTACTTATTAGACTTAACTGTGTTTTTTTTGCACAAAATTGATCTTGTGTTCTTTGTATATGACAAGAATGTTCTTTGGACATGAATATAATTAAAAAAAATTGTTTGGGCTTTTGAGCTGGGATCATTCATAATTTGTCTTCAAATGGAATGATGGTACATGAAATGATGAGACATATTACTTTCTTTACTTATTAGAAAAGGCACCCTCTAGTTAGCAGCAGATACTGAAAATAACCACAACGACTGAGCACCATGAGCAAGTCCTTGTGTGTACAGTACCATAAGGGAAATCATGATTTAAAAATCAGTGAATGCCTTTGAAAATCAGAAGCTATGGCTGCAAACAAAATTAGGCAATTAAGCATAGTGGAAGACTCATTAATCTGATTACAGTCATTAAATGGCTGTAGAGCTGCCAGCACCTCATACAGGTGGCTCTTAGAAACATCCAAGGGTGGTGTTTTCTGACAAATCCAAGCTCTGTGTTTTAACTGTCAATAGTAAAGCATACATTTTCAAACGTGTATGTGGCATTACAGCTAAATTAAAAAACTGGGTTGTTGTTGACTTGAAGTTTGCCATAAAGTGTTGTCTTAATAATATTCTGAGTAATGTGCCATCCATTGTTAATAGCATGCTTGTCCCCACACAACAAGGATTGCTCATAACATTCTGATTCAATCCGAGATCAACATCCTGCACTGCATTGACTGCATGGCCATTACATCCTCTGTCTTCACTGAATTGTAACCACAGCCCAATAACATTGCTGATCTAGCAGTTAATTTACATGGTATTCAGTATACAGTGTATTGAACTTCTGCAAGCATTAAATTAATAACTCAGGACTGCGAAAACAGATGCTGAATAAAGCCAGTACACAATTTTGGAAAATAGCTTTGGCGCAGTTTTTCAGAGAGAATGCAGGTCATGGGAAAGAACAGACAGCAAATCGCAATTGTACAGGGTGCTTATATTAAAAGCAAAAACATCACATCATGTTGCATCATAAAATATTAATGTAAATGCACAAATGCATTCCATGGTGATAAGAAAATGTTCGTATTAAGAGGCTTAGAATCTACATCCACAGTACAATCTGTTAAATTGGTTGCTTAATAATTTAGGGTAGGGCGTATTTATTATTTAAACTAACACATTACTTGATTTATTTAAGAAAAAGTAATAAGGGACTAGAAAGAGGTGTCTTTAATTTTTGCAGTGTTCTCAACATTTGGTTTGTAAGTTTTATTTAAATCCTAAAATAGCAAGTTCAATTGACAAAGTTTGAATCTTAATAAATTAAATAAACACACTGTATTCATTATGCTAAGGAGTCTTCCACTTATTATGACAACACCAATACACAGAAGAGAGGTGTATAAACCTAAACATATTTAACAAAAGTGCAAAAACGCACCTTCTTAGAACCATAAAAATGTTAAATTAAGTATGTACAGTATATATAAAAACTAGGTAGCAGAATTAAAAAAAATTGAAAAGATGTTTGGCTTGCTATTTGAATCTAGAATATTGCTATGATTATGATAATTGGAACAGGGAAAAACAGTTTTGCACAAACCTAATTATGCTGTAAGAATGCAGAAACATATGACCTTGAAGAAGATGTTCCTACAACTTTTAAATTAGATTTATTTTGTGCTTTGATTACAGTATTGTTCTTTTTAGCTTACAAGGCTGTAAGTGTGTGCTCCTTACAACTATTTTATGCTGTGTACCATACAATTACCAATGCTGGCTCTTAGACTCATCCTCTCCAGAGCCAGAGCTGAAGAACTAATTGGGTTTCTGAATCACATAGCAAGACTTGTCAGAATAACAACTAAATCCCTTCTTGCAACTATGCCGAACCTGTGAATTCAGTTCCAATTTAAAATGTGGAATTATTTGGCCAGCATGACAGTGCAAAAAATATACAAGAGTTGAACGCTTCAATGGGATTAACAACTTTAAAAACAGAATTTTAAAATAGAATAGGACCAGACAGAACCTTCATGGAAAACTAAGCACCATAATTTCCATTTTGGAAGCTGTAGTGCATTTTTATTCCTTCTTTAGTGCAAAACATTTTTTTAATTTAATCACTCTCCTGTTGCATAGGCATTACCAAACTCTTTAAAATGTTCAGGTTTTCTGAATGATCTATCCACTATAATTCATTTTCTAATGTAACCATGTGGTCACTGCGCAGACTTTTCTTTGGCGATCTACTATATGTTTTGGAAAACATTTATTCCTCCAAAGTCAATTCATCCTATTAGAAGGCATTAAAAAATGGAGACATTTGCAAATATATTTAATCAGATAAACACAAACATCCAATCGTTAACAAGTTTTGACTGATGTATTCAGAGCAAAAATGCTATTTAAAAATATTATGACACCATCCAACATATTAAAGTATATACTGTATAACAGAACGGCATTAAACTACAAATAACTTTCTGTACAGCAGGACTACTAAAATTTACAATAAAATTTCGAATGTTTTCCTAAGAGAAAAACCAAAACTTTAAGGTATTTTAAAAGGTAACTGAAGACATTCAGAGGAGAATATAGTATGTATATACAAAACTTGCTAATGAAAATACATCTATTTTAATTTAAATTCTAAGGCATAGGCTACACTTACAGTACATATTTTTTTGTACTATATTTTGTCATAAAACTACATTTTTGTACATGAAGACTAGTCACTTATGCATGGCAACAACACTTCAAATAAGTAAACATTTTGGCACAAAATAATTAATTTTCGCGTTTTTTTATATATGCTTCCAATTCAATCTGAGTGCAAAGGAAATAGTGTTATACGTGAAGGAAAATGAAAAGACAGAACGCAAAACTGTTGAAATCGAATTGATTATATGATACAAATGTAGCATAAGTTTAGTTTGTTTCGCAAATTTTATTGTTTTGGTAAGGTCACAATTGTTCATGTTGTGTGAGGTTACAAAATAACATAAAACCGTAAATATTGTAAGAAAACAAACTTAAGACCTTGGAGTTCGTCCCTATTTTCATGCCGTTCAGCGCCATTGGTTAAATATTTCCCGGAGTTTTAATAGATGAGTTGGGAACTATTGGTCGAGATAAGTGTCAATAGTTTGAAGGGAGGGTCAAAGAGTGAAAGCAAACGTAAAGTCTCCATTCTTTTTAGTTTTAGAGATAGTCTTTAAGTGGAAACTTTCTGCGTTCTATAGAGCATTATTTGTGCACTTGTGTTGTTTTTCCAAGAAGACAGAGTAACTTGAGCTTGTAAGTCTAAGTATTCTGTGTAATTTGTGTTCTGTAGGCATTTTATGTGTACTTTACAAACTATTTACCCTCCGAAACCTCGTGTTATTACTTTTCGGTCATGTTATTTATTCGTACATTTTTTTATTCTATTTTCTTGATTCTACGTCGTTAAAACAATTTGTTGAGACTAACTGTGGTATTTGTTTTGGTATATTTAATATGGATTAGAAATAGTTAAGATATTAGGCTAACCATATTGTCCATTGTCAGTGTGAGATGGGAGAGCGGTGTCTTGAGAAAAGTTTCAGTTAGCCTGTTTAGAATGCATGGGCATGTATGAACATGATACTGAATGGTTTTTTTTTTGTTGTTGTTGTTGTTGTGGACAAATAAAAAATAAATGAATTGAAAGAGAGAAATGCTGTACTTATTAAGTTGCAAACCGCTGTGAATAGCATGTAAACTAGATGACAGAAAGGTACAGTACATTTTGCTTTTTGAATTAAAACATCAAAGTGCATTCTTACAATGTGTACATTGTAGCCCAAAATATTAAGCGGCTTCCAGTGTAGATAGATATTGTATATACTTTAAAACGCGCTAAACTATTTTCAGTGAGATAGATTATATTATGACTAAGCTACCATACAGTTTATGTCTGAAAAAATACGATTGAGTCTGGTACGGTGTTACTGTATACTAATATACTTTGGTATACTGTACATCACGTGCTTCGTTGGGTATAGAAAAACCAGCTCTCTGTTACGTTCGAGTAACTCCACTGTCCATCAGTCTACCACAGTTCATTGGCAGATCCAGATAAATGAACTATTTACTCTCTAATCTTGTTTGTTGTATGTATTATGCGTATTCAGAATGTGAACCTTCTACACCTTAGTCTACTTAATGTAGAATGTAGAACCATTCTAATAACCAGTATGAAATGAATAGTTCTTTCGAGGTGTACTTTGCATCCAAGCTAAAAGTAAGACGTAAAATGTCAGTACACACAGTACGTTACGTGTATTGATTAAATAGTATTATTTCAGCATGGCAATGTCTAATCACTGGCTGTGCAATCAGTATTTTGGGGTGTTAATACAGTATGTACAGTACCGGTTTCAGTAGTAAAAATTGGTGTTGAGATTTCTTTCATTGTGCTTTTTCTTTCAGAGCTGTTTCAGACTATTTAGAGTTGGAGGGCAAATCACTGGGTCATTAATCATATAGGTAGACACAGATAAAGTTTGTTGTCCTCGGTGCTGCAGAGTGATTCCGCTCCTACAGTGAACTGTGTATGAGGTTGCCCCTGTGGGTAGATGTTATCATTCATATTGTACAATGACCTGGATAGAGTCAGGAGGGGCTAGGTACACGCTGTGATAATGTAGTTCAAAGCAGACACAGAAGGGGAAATGTGCAGTTATCCAGGTGAATGTAGAGTGTTAAGGGAATTTCAATTGTATTAACCAGTAAAGGTAATAAATTATGTATGTGGTTAAGGCTGCTGGAGAGACTTTTACTATACATACAAAAACCATTCTATTTCCAATCTTACCATTATATATATATACTGTATATAACAATGGTTTAGGTAGAATTACATTTTAAAACATAATTTATATTAATAAAAACCATACTTCATTGTAAGGCTGTCTATATCTATGTAAATCCTGCACAGTCTATTATTTTTTTGCTTGTTATGTAACAATAAATTATATTTAAAAATATTAATCAAAAGCCATGGTTTTAAAACACAGAGTTACAGGTACAGTGCCTTACAAGAGTATTCACCCCCCCTTACAATTATGCCCCATTGTGTTGAATAACAAATGATGTACTGTATACAGGTATTTTAAAGTGAAACTGAGCTTCTCTTGAAAGCATTAATGCTAATTTCTAGCTCTGGAGAAATTGGCTGGAGGTCAGATGGAGAAAGATTACTGTAAGGAAAAGAGGGGCTACTATTTTACTCTATTTTTATAGCTTTCTGGGAAGTGAAATGATGGAGCAGTACCAGAGGTAAAGGAGAACATGCTGTCATCCCTCCCGAACCTTCATTAAAAGTTCTATATCTCCTCCTGAGCCAAAGAGGTTGTTTTTACTTTCTTCAAGACATGTCTGCTCAGGAGGTGTTTTGTAGCACAGTCAGGTAAAGTTGTCTCAAAAGTTTGTTCGTGTTTGCAATAGCATTGCAAATCTCACAGTGCCCATAGTGCGGTGGTGTTTCTGTCTTGTCATCTAACATGCCCAACATTCATTTATGTTTCACAATCCTTTAGTGTAAAGTAACAGTTACAGTTTGTGTAGTCTATTATAATGAGTACTCCCAGTTTAGCAGCAGCTGCATGGGGAATGACAGGTGGAGATGATTTTACAGGTTGACTGACAGTATATTTACCCTTTTCCTTACAACGGGGCATGCTAGTCACAGAGCAGGTAAGGCAGACATGTCCTGTGGGGGAAAGAGAAAGAGTAGGGATCTCTTCGTGGTTTAATAGAGGGGAAAAGGTGGGGAGGAGTCATAGGGACAGGCCAACACCGTGGGGGAGTGGATTACTAGACAGCCCCCTTCCCAGGTCTCTCATCCTTGAAGGGAGACTTTGAAATCCCATTGTTGGACTGACTGTTCAAGTTTGTGTTCCGAGTATGCAGTAGCAGCAGGGATCTGGAATAGGGAGGATCAGAGCCTGCAGTGGGCTGCTGTTGCTGGGACTATCAGGCTCTGGTGAGGGTCTTCTTCCATAGAAGCAACTGTCTGTCAGAATGCATAATGACATGGAGGCCCTGGCCTCTCACCCATCATTTAACCCAGGAGCTTCAGATCCGCTGTCTCACAGCCCTCACCTGCCTGGCCTGCCTTACCATGCTCTCAAGGGAAAGAGGTGCTGTCATGTGCTTGCAGGATCCTAGGTGCACAACCTAGGGTTGAGAAGGCTCAAGCCCTTTTTTGGTCCCCCAGCTGTCCTCAATGGAGGGCGTAAGCTCTGGCCCCACAGCTCAATGTCGGTGGGGGATCTCACCTCAGCACAGATCAATCGGGGTTGTGTTGTACGGCATCTTCTGTCGGTCCAGGAGCTGGGGCTATCAAGCCCTGGGGAGACTTTTTCCGCAGAAGAAGACATAGACACAGGATTACTGTCCTCTCCTGGTCTCCTTTTCTCGCTCAACAACCTTTCACAGGCCCATCCACCCAGGCAGCATCCTCGGACATCTTCTGGAAACAGCGGGGATCCCTCTGTGGATGTAACGAGAGAAAAGGCAGGAAGGGTTGAACCTGAGGTGAAAGAGGAGAGGTCGTGGGGACAGTCCAATGCCAGGGTGCAGAGAATTGCTACAATATATTCAGATGAAACTTGGCTTTGTCATGTGGGGTTAGGAGAGACCAAGAAGAGAGCTGTGGAACTAATCAGCTTTTGTATTTAGTTGTCATTACTTCCATTTCTACTCCATCAAAAGACTTCAGTCCTTCCCTGTTTTTTCATGGTGCTTATTCCAGAAAACTCATATTATATTCTCTATATCCTGAGTTGCTGTTTGGATGTTTCTTAAAGGTTTTTTTTTACCCATAGGGGTAGCCTTCCTTGGGATTCCACTTAAATGGATACTTTGAGTTGCATTAATATATTTTGGTGGTTTTAAATTATTGAAGGCATAGAATCTACTGAGTGTTAAAAGTGTTTTAACATTGCTGTGCTCATTTCTTTTGCAATGATCTACATTTTGTTTTCCTTACCCGGGTCTGAAATCTTTTTTTCCCAATGGCAGCATCTTTTTAAGCATTCCTTCATTTCTGGTTCTCACATTTATTTCTTAATTAAATAAGGTATTAAGAAAAAGGCATGGAACACACATGCAGGAACATAATGTGTGACTTTCTATCTTATTTAATCAAAATGGAACTAAAGCATCTTCACAACAAATGTCATTCCTAACCTGGATTCCTATGAACCTAAAGGTATACCCATGAATGTCACCTTCTCCTTGCCCCAGTGGAGTAATAATGTCGTGCTTTCCTTTTGACACTTCTGATATTTCTAACATTATTCTATGAGATATTGGTTTAACCTTTGTTGTCAAATTGTACATGCAAAGGCAGCGCAGGCTTTTCACCTAATTTCCATGCCATTAAAATAGGTTAAATAAGGTTTAGTAATTTGTCTTTTGATACATGCCTATGAGAATTCAATGGAAACTGCCTGTTTTTGCATGAGGAAAAAGATTAATATTTCATACTTCTTGAAACGCTTGACCCTGTGTCAAAGGAATACTATATATTCAATCTCTGTAGGTAAGAAGATGAGAGTGTTTTCTCATTATTTCTTCTCTCTTTTTTATTGTAGGCTTTGGACCTGTAAAGATATTAGCTTTAACCATTAGTCTCTTGTACCATGGAGAAGGAAAATCAGCTGGTGCATGAGAGCAGCTAGTGAAGAGCAATGGATTGAAGATTGTGAAGAATATTATACTTTTTATGTAGGTTAATGTAGTTGTTCAGTCACGCTCTTTGTGTGAAATGTATTTCAAGAACACTTGGAAAATAATGAGGTTTGAGTTTTTTTTCTCTTACTTTAAAAAATTCCCATTTTCCTAGGCTTAATTCAGCAAAGATAAATGCCAGATTCCCTTTTCAGTCCACAAATTGAAGCAGGAGTGTTGGTGTTTCAAGTTCAAGTTCAAGTTCAAGTTCAAGTTTATTGTCATTACACTCATATACATGGTATAGGGTATAACGAAATGCTATTTAGCTAGCTCTCGGACATAAGTAGTACAAAGAGAAAAAAAACACAACAACAATACAATTGTGTAGCAAAAGAAAGACAGAGACAACAGGCAGTGTGCAAAAAACAACAACAGACGATGTGCAAAAAAAACAACAACAGGCAATGTGCAAAAAACAACAACAGATGAATAACAAGTCCAAATAAGAAAATGGGCTCAGAAACGTTTATTAAAATTTCAGAAATACAGTACGAAGCTTTGGACTAACATGCTTGTTGGAGGGTCAAACATTCTGGCCAATAGATGAGGAAGTTAGGACCCTGATGCAGAGTGAGGAGCTTACCAAAGAGTAGCTGCAATGGTGGAGATGGTGTGGGAGAGGGATGTACAAAGATAAATACAAAGAAGAGTGTAGACAGTGTGTATATCAATTTAGGAAATGCTGTCATGGCAGATTGTGAATTAGAGTAACAGGTGAAGGAGAACTTGTTTATTGTCATCCCTCCCGAACATTTGATGAAAACTAAATCATAGAAACTTGATTTAAGCACTTGTTTTTTCCTTTACTTTCTTGAAATCATGCATGCTCTGTAAGGGTTTGTTTGGCACAGTAAGGAAGAGCAATCCATGAGGTTTTTGCGTTTGCTAGAACATGATAAAAACTGAAAATGGTGGTTGGTTCTTGTGGGATCTCGACTAAGACCACTGACTTGAAGTGTCTGAGATAATTGAATTGGCTTTTCCTGTAATTTCTAACCTATAATTAAGCAATGTGCTGTTTTTGTATTGCAGATTTGATTCTCAGCACCAAGGAAAAGACATATCTTTCTCAACAGCAATGCAGCACGCAACTTGACTTTGAAAGTGACGTTATCTCACAGGTCTACCATGGAGTTACACAGTACCACACCGAAGTGAAAGTATAGCCATTGGAAAATAAACAGAGATATACAGTAACACCCAAGGTAGACTACAGTACAGACTTAGTGAGTTATTTTAAAGTCAGAAAATGTCTTGGATTTCCTTTTGCAATGAAACCAGCACCTCTTTCACGTTACGTAGCTGGCCTTATCTGTGCAAGTTCCTTGATTTCTACACTGCTGATTTTAAAATTATTTACCTCTACGAGCCACCCTCAGGTTTACGCCGGCAGCACACTCAAGCAAAAAAGTGATGGTTTTCTTAAGGACTCGAAGCTCAAAGTTTTAATGCATAGAACGGGAATAGATTTTAAATCATTGCTGAGGACTAGCCTGGAACCTCCAATTTGCCTGAGGGGTCAGACTTTGATGATACTTGTAACATCAGCCCCATGGCATTTAGAGCAAAGGAATGCAATCCGCAGTACCTGGGGAAAGAAGGATGGAGGCAATGCATACTCTTGGCAAGTTTTATTTCTGATTGGTCACCGCTCAGAATTGGGTATTCCTCAGGAGTTTGTACAAGAGCAGCGTGCCTATGGTGATATTCTGATGGGGAATTATGCTGACTGTTACAGAAATTTGACTCTTAAAGTGATGCATGGTTTTAAGTGGGCTGTAGACAACTGTGAGCCCCAGTTCATTTTAAAAACCGATGATGACTGCTTTGTGAACACTGACAGGCTGCCTCGCTTTTTAGCTGAGCACAATAATTTCAAAAACAATCTCTACGCAGGGTCTTTGTTTGCACAAGGAAAACGAGATGTGATCCGAGATCCTCTCAGCAAATGGTACGTCTCCAAAGAGGACTACAGGGAAGATGAGTATCCTCCATATGCCAGTGGAATTGGTTATGTACTTTCAGAAGATGTTGTCCAGCAAATCTTAAAAATAGCGGAATTTATCCCTCCTGTTCCTATGGAAGATGCATATGTTGGTATTTTGGCAAAGGAAGCTGGGATTTCTGTGAAATCAAGCGGACGTTTCACAAAGCACAATGTCAGCTGGCGAGTGTGTAATTACAGGTACCTTATGGTCATCCATCACCTGGATACTATAGAACTTCAACTGGCTCAGCAAAATATGATTAAAGCCAGAACTGCCTGTTCTGAAACACAAGAAATCACACGGTGGAAGTAAGGCATAGGCTTCATATTATTAATTTGAGCTCTCATTGTGCAATGGATGTATCAAAAGGTTACTAAGATAGTTTTTAGTAGATGCATGTATTGTGTTCTCTATAAAGTCATGTTTACAAGTGTGCAGGTACTGTATGATAAATGTGAATCAATTTCATTTCTACCAGAACCTTCTAAAATCTCACCATATTTGATCTTAAAGAGCAAGGT